GCATTCTACCTCCCCCTGGAATGGTAAGTGAAATATCTATTTATATCAAATAGCAGGAGTTTTGATGGTTATCATTAGCCATTTAGTTGACTTCAGGCTTCACAGAGGGGAGGAACATTAAAATGAAAAAAGTCGAGAGGGAGGGGGGAGGGAACAGAGGAGTGTTTCAAGGACGAAGCTAGAAAAGGTAGATAGAAGGTGAGATGTGTTCTATGGAAGTGATCGAATATGGCATACAGTGGGGTGATGGTAGTTTGAAGGCGGAAGTCAACTGCCGAATAATAGACATTTTTGCCGTATAAGTATACGTTGCCCAGGGTGCATCACGTGGAGGTAAGTCTATCGCACAGCCCTGGTAAGTGAAATATGTATGAAGTCGATTCGTCTTTACTTAGCGCAACGGCTAAAAAGCCTGCCTTGGCAAGTCCTAAGCTCTAAGGTCAATGTCTACAAGTACAACTTTAGTGATGTAGTTAATCAATGAATTTGCAATCCAGGACCAATGTCATAGTTGTGTTTCATAACGTAACTTTATTATATCCTCATTCTACACAAGTCAGGTGTCACTAACACCTTCAAAATTTGATTAAATCCTTAAATTTCTACTTGTTCTATGTATTAATAAATTTTTAAGTGCGTATGATTAATAAATCAGGCAAAACTGATAGTGATTGCCATGGGTTAATACTGAGAATTGAGTTCACATTCCTTGTTATGCACCGTTCTCAATAAATAGCCGATGATTCGCCAATTTAAACAAGAAATTCTATTTAATTTTGTAATTGAATCACCTTATTTTAAGGTTAAAATGTTACAATTGCGCCCATTTTAAGAACAAATGTTGTTAGCGAAGGTAGACTTTAAATTTTGAAACACGCAGAAACACCTTACAAACAGAACAATAAACTGTCAAAGATTAAAACTATCATCAAATTGTTCGAATTTTGTCACTTAAAATATTTTTCTTTAACCTTACCACTTAATTTCCATTTTCATTTGAATAATGCCAAAAGCATGTCTACTTTTGGGACTGCATCAAATCTACATTTATTTATATTTATTTAAAATGGCAGGCGTTATGATAGGTATCATTAGGTCTTTAATTGACTTCGGGCTTCACAGAAAGAAAGAGGAACATCAAAGTGGCAAAAATTCGAGAAGGGGACAGAATAATGATTCACAAACGTAAAAGGAACAGACAGTAATTAGTCCAATATGAAATGCAGTGGGGTCTTGGCAGTTTGAAGGCAGAAGTCAACTGCCGATTAATAGACTTTTTTGCCGTATAAGTGTACTTTGCCCAGGGTACACCATGTGGAGGTAAGTCTATCGCGTACCCCTGATCAAATCTACTTCTAATGTGGCATTAATAGTGTAAATGATTTTAATTATAGCGAATTATATGTGGCATGATTATACTTATTTCGTTATTTTTTCATTTTCGGTTATTATAATAATGTAAATATCCCATCAACAAGTGACAAACATGTAACCGTAATTCAGCAGCTTGGAATATACTTGTTAGATCGCAGAGAACTGGTTTACGTAGATAGGATTATAATAGCCGTGCCAGATAAACAATGTGATAGCACCTTGGCACTTGTTGAGCTGAATGAAATTGACCTCTCAAGGTCTTGTAGTTTTCTAATCAATAGTGAATGACGCATATTCAGCCTTGTCCAACTAAAACTTTGTGGGTAGATTGAAGGCATCGTTTCAGTGATTCGTTCTGCCTTTTTGGTAAGTAAAAGATAAGATTTGTGGTTAATAATGAAATCCGTTTAATTTAATCCTATTTATTATTAATAAAAAAGAATTTAACAATTTGGGAATATTAATCTCTTGAAGCCTGTCATGCTACCACGTTGATTTGAGTATGCAGGAAAATACTAGAATTTGCGGGCTAGTTGTAAAAGTTAGACTATCATAGCTTTGAAATAGGAAAGAAATAACGCAACGCATATATTGATTTTCAATAAAATGTAGAAATTTTTCCTAGATAAGAATGGCTGCGATGTAAAAACATTAATATTTCCAAAAAATGGGGTTAATTTTCAGAGCTTCCTGATTAAACACTGTTTTAGGTACGCTGACCCTACAATGACTATTGGTTTTTGATTAGTTGACAGGTCTCTGTACGCGTGACCCCATGTATGTCTCTGCGCTCTCAGCAGTACTCTTTGTGGAGGACAGAGTTATCTAAGCATTATTATAAACGTTAAAACGATAAAAGCTCTTTGGCTACCACAAACACATTAATATTCTTATACTTGCCCTTTGGCCTTTCTTAGCAATTCGGGATTAAGAAACTGACAAGTGGTGTTATTCATTACCATCTTTCCATCCAAATTAATGACGATTTACTGATTCTTGAAATAGTAATTGCACGCCGCTCTTGTAAAATTAACACCATACTGTAGAGACTTTAAATTCCGTAACTGAGTTATAACTGGTCTTTCATCAACCCACCACTTCCAATTTATTCGTTTTATGAACAAAGGATTTCAAATACCAATAGGGTGTATACGCATTTAACTAGAATGTAACAACTTCGTGTCCAGATGATTAAGTTATAAGTTATATCGTAAAATCTATTTTTAACTTAATGGAGTGATAGGTGAAGGAGTGCTATCATCTTATACCTTCTACCAAAACATTGTAAGGACTTGATTATGAGGAAATGGACTAGCCTTGAGACCATTACTATTAGTATTAACAACAAAAGTGCAAAACGCGTTCAATTCTAGAAAGTAGCTGAACGGATCTACTGAAAATTGCGTGAAAATTGTGAGTACAAAAAAGAGGCATTTAAAAGTCATGCATCACTTATTTTTTATAATCGAGTTGAACAGTATTTATTAAATGAGTAGTATGTAATGCGGCAATCGATAAAAAGGATGGAGAGAGAGAGAGAAAGATACGGAAATATTGATTTTTTACGAGGGAACAGTGTGAGGAGGCAAATATGAATAAATTATAGCCATGGGAAGGAACAAACTGTAAAGTGGCAAGAAGACTGATATCCAACTGCCCTTGTTCCCTGGAGAGTGTGAGGAAGAAAAGCTTAGTTCTTAAATATTAATAAAAAAATAAGGTTGATATTAGTAAAATCAGAGTTCAACGAAAGTTAAGTAGAACCCCACGAGTTCAACAATAAAATTGGCCCAAAATTACTAATGTAAAATGATAAAAGTAGGGTTAGTTTACGCACACTTTTTATTGGAAAAAAAACGCGCACAAATATATCCTCTTTTTTGACTCAAAAAATTTTAATAGAGGACCTTTGCAACTAATTTATCTCATCTTTTGACAATCTCTACAATGACAAAAAATAGAGGTAACGATGAGTAAATTTTGTTGGAAGAGAACAAGGAACCACTAGAGAGGTTACGTAAAGAACGGATAACGGATGTGGGTTATTGAATGAAGCTTATAATTTCATAAACATAAGCTAAAATGCTCAGTCAGGATTCGATGGAGAGTCCAGTGTTGTTCGGGCGACCCAAAAAAGGTTGACATCACGTGGTCTCGACGAGTGCGACAATGTGTATTTGAGAGAGAACCGTAGGGAATTGGAAATTGAGAAAATTTACTCAATTTTCCAATTTCACACAAAAATCTATCTAAATATCGACCTTTAAATAGCGATAAAATTTTTCACACTGTCGTAAATGGACTGATTGTAATACCTGATGGAAGAACATATCTAGTGTGTCAGCATCCATTCAATATGCTTACCAAGGAACCGACAGCGTTGTTTATAATGTGAAAATGCCACTTATCTATTTGACGAATTGATTTAATATCGTTATAAAATATTATTATTTGACTTTCATAACTAGCATTTATTTTGTTATTGAGAAATATACATAGCAAATGCCTTATTTGCATTGACTTGCAGGAGCACAGCAACTCTCTTCGTGGCATGCTGCTCTATGGAATATCCGTTGCATCCATCATAGGAACCCTCAAAATCGATCTTCCAGGTGCAGGAGCATTGTGTTGTCTAATCTGCGCACTCTGCTGTTCCTACGGTTGGCAACATGGAATGCCCTGGAGATTCAAGAACAGCAATCCAGAAGCAGTGGGTCTTACTCGTGATTCGCACAATGCCGATCATAATTATTCCGGCAAAGATAGTGTGGACTTTGACGCTGAATACAGCGAGCGAAAGAGAAAGCAAGATTCGGGAGAAAGCGAAGAAATATCTCAGTTTGGACCTGCGACAATGCATCATGAATATTACAGACAACACCTTAGAATGCTGAGAAAGTTGTTAAAGAAGAGTGGCGGAGTGGCTGGAAGCAAAAATGCCCTGGCGACGGTGTCTAGAGGTTCCCGAAGATTTTCCCTTCCTGAACCGAAGCCTGATTATGAAGAGGAGGAATTCGATGAAATGATGGGTGAGGTTTGACTCTCCTTTCAACTGTTATCGTTACTCGCATCACGCTTACCTCTCTCTGTGTGTGTGTGTATTCAGTTCATCTGACTTGACATCAGTGGCAGCTCATAGGGCTAGTATAATTTTGGGAGATTATGATGTGGGATAGGTTCGGTCATAAATAACATTGGCTCATTAGATTCTCATCAGCATCGATTTCAAACACTTTCGCTCTCCATTTTGTCAAAATTTGACCAAATTTCTAATCATTACAACTCCCTCATGGTTTTCTAGCAAGCAGCAGGTATAAAAAATTAAATTTTTTTGAAAGATATTTCACGTCAATTATAAATCGGTTAGTGATAATTGAACGGTTCTGAAACTGAAAGGTCATTAAGCATATATTGAATTCAAATTCAATATTGGTTTTCCCAGAAATAGGACTTTTATCAGGTAAAATAGCCTATAAAATCCTGTTTCAATCTAATAATGAAGCAATTTCTTTTGCATCTTAGATTTACCAGTTTATTCTCCATTAACCCTTTATGGAAAATATGTGATGATGGATGTTGGAAGTCGGAATTCCAGCTCAGTTTTGATCATAGGGATTTGAGTAAACTATTCGAAGAGCATCTGAGAGCACCTATTTTGAAATCTTTTGCAAATATCGAATTTCATTTAATTGGTTTGAAAACTAAGCTGACGATTAAAAAATACATGTGAACTCATGCTCGAAGTACATATGCAATCACCTTGAATGCTAGAGAAGCACCTCATAGTCTTTGGTAAGAAACCCAAAATGCAGAAAAAATTCACCCCCAAACCAATATTGATCAGGACTGTGGTGCGCCAAATCCTATTGGAGAGAGAGGTTTAAATTCTTTAAACAAATTGCAATAGAGCATGATCATAATGGGAAGCTAGTAGACTTCAAGCATATTTTCAACAATTTTGCTCCCATTTTTTATGCATTTCGGTCATACATATTAATAAAATCGGAAAAGACGACAACTTTCCTCCCAGGTGGACGTGGAAAGAGTAATGGACAGATGTCACATAACATTTTGTCGTGTGCACAATTTTTTTTCTCCTCACTGCGAAAAAATAAAATATATATATATATATATATATATATATGCAAATGAAATCGAGAATGCTGTCTTTAAAAGAACTAAATTTGTGAAACGTTGATGTTTTCTTGAGAAATGGATTATTTGTTGTGACGATGTGTATAATTAACGATATATAACCGATTCTCCGATGACACGAGGCTTAATAGTTACGTCTAAGAGATGAGGAGTTAATGTGTTCGATGCCTGTGGGCGCAAGTTTCAGGTGAGCGAAATGTCCACCCTCTCGAGTTACTTCCCCCCCCCCCTCCACCCCCACCTCATTCAAGTTCATTCAAAAGGCAAGCTTTATCCTGCCATACCACAACCTCCCCATGGGGGGTGAGGGTGGGGGTGGGGGAGGGGGAAGTAGTGCGCTCCCTCTTTCGCTTGCAAATTTCTATTTAAATATAAGTGGTGGATGCAGGAGAATATCGTAAGTTATTGCTTTTTAATTGTCACTTTTTCTGTGCAGGTGGAGTTGACTATGATCCTTGGAACTTCAATGTGGCCAGGAGCTTAAAAAGTAATGATGACTCACCACTTCCAGGTTCGCCTACCTCCACAGTTTAACCCCTTAGCTCCTTCAGCTGCTTTGTTTTCCTCCAAAGAATGCGCCTTAGTTTTGCATGCTTTGTGCATTTACGGCAACATGCATTAGTCAAATTCCATCACAAATTGCGGTTCAGCTTAATGGTATATTCGCTATGATTAGATTAAATATTGAGGAGTTTTAGGACTTGTCATATATTTTAGGAGAAGTGCTGTAGAAATTTAGGCTTTATGCTAGTTAGAGTCTTTTTTTTCTAACCTCTTCCTGGCACTTCTTGATGATTTTTCAAATGGGGAATCCTTAATTTACTCTTTCCCAAAAATTAAATTGTTTCTTTTTTCCTTAATAAAGTAAAAACTCTTCAAAGGATTGAGTAAATCAGCGATCACTTTAAATGAAAGGAGTTTGAAAATGAATCTTTGGCATCCTTGCTGAAAAACCTAGACGTCTCACAGGCTCTAGTAATAGACTCCCAGGTATGAATCTCTCCATAGGGGTGTCTAAAATTCTCAAATTAGGTCTAGGTGTTATTCAGTGTACCAATAAAGGGGGACCTCTCGTGAGAGTCATATTAGGGACTCGAATTCTCAAAATTCGGAAACACCACCCTTTCAAACCAAGAGCGTGGAGGCTAATTTGCATCTGGAACCCCAGGGAGAAGCTAAATTAGGACCTCCATTTGATCTAAGTGATATCACTTCAACTTCGAGTGCTCAGCTAGGCGTGTCTTTTTTAAGTTGGTGGCGTTAGATGATTGAAGTCACATTTAGAAATGGATATGGGGGGGGGTAAATTCGGTCAATCAATCGAGTATTCAAGTGATTAAACAGCAAAATTAGGAAGCAAATGCCATTGCGATTTCCTTTGATTGGGGAAAGTTTGGATCGTATAGCTGTGTAGGCATGACAATAGTTTAATTTTTTTAGAATTTGAAAATTACTGCTCTCTACAATTACGGTGGCAAGCCATTGTCAAAATTGTGATACTTTGAGTCAGTTCATGTTGATGGCCAGTGTTTAATCATTTCGTCTCTTTCTCTTAATACATTAATGAAAATTTCCATCTCGAAATAACTGGACTCCTGAAGATAATAATTACCGGTTGCATAAATACCCATTCACAATCTTTCAATGTGGCTACCCATCTTTTGCTTGACAGTATGCAGAGAGCTTTGCTGATGGCAGTGAAAGACAGCCAGTCCATATATCCAGGTTTTATTTACCTTTTAAATTTGGTTGAAGAAGTGCAAAAGGCAAAATGCCTTAGTTTTCAATAGGTCCACTTACACGAGTAATATAAGTTTGGGGATTGCGAGAATGTTTGAGTCACTAAATTGCTGGAACTTGCCAACTAGAGCCCTATTATAATGGGTAGGATTGCAAACAGCTGGGAATAAGAGAGCAAAACAGCAGTCCTAAAGTGTAGAGGGTGACGCTGAGGGCCGTCTACGGATAGAAAAGTGCCAAGAAATACATTGACCGTGAGATACGGGTGTTGACTGGAGAGTTATAGAAATGAAAGGGAGAATTGATGATCTACTCTAGACTTGGCAGATGGGTTTTTGGGTCATATTGACACAAAGGGGGGGAGGGGAGGGGCACACGACAAATTTTCATAAAGAAAGTGGATGTAGGGCGATGATTTCAGAGTTGGGTGCCACCTAAAAGAAAGAGAAATAGCTATGGCATGGCAGACATTTGAGCCGATGTTGAAACTTTTACGATTGTAAGGTCAGCAAAGACCCTTTCTGACCTCCAAACATATATGCATCAGCATAATTCAGTCGACTCTGCAATACCCTTTTGCCTTCTTTAAATATAGTAGTTATTAAAATAGTGTCTCGTTTAATCCATCAATTTTACCTCAGACAAAAAACGTCGCACAAACCTAACCCGATCTCTCTCGGCTTCGCGACCACCTCATTCGAGATCGCCTCGTAATCGCACAACTAGTGACAGCTTCCAAACAGATCTCAACGTTGATGTTGTGAATGAAGATAGTTCCAATGTGTATGCAACAACCTCTAATGCCCCCTCAAAGTCTAGGGGAGCTAGAAGGAGGTTTAGAACAACATCCGAGGAACAAGCATATGCTGAGAAAGTGGAACGATTTGAGTTGGCTAAAGCCAAAGGCCATGAATGTTTAAAGGTTATGCGCAATTTCGTATCTACATGCTGGTGGTTTGTACAACCACTTCTGTTCTGCCTAATAGGCGCCGATATTCCTGTCGAAAAATTAAAGACCGATGTAATTCGTAAGTTTACTTATTCAATGGAATTTAGCTCACCAACAGTCACTGTCCATTCAAAATTTCTATTTATTGTTTCAGTTAAAGGCATAGCTTCCATATTAATTGCCGTTTTCTTTCGATTGTTGGGTTCATTTTTGGCTGTGCTGCCATCGAAGATGAATATGAAGGAAAGGCTCTTTGTGGCTATTGCCTGGATTCCTAAAGCCACTGTTCAAGCCGCCATTGGACCCCTGGCTTTAGATGCGGCACGCAAGTTCGGTGATCCTGACCAGATTCGATGGGGTGAAGAAGTAAGTTCCTGAAAACATTCCACACTACTACTTATCAATTTCTTCGGAAAAGAGCGTCTTTTGTTTGCAGTTATCAGTTTAGCGTTTTAAACTTTGGAATCTGCAAATGGTGATGGCTTACGCCTAATGTGTTCAAATCATCTATATATAAATCGATATATATAAATGTATGTATATCGATTTCTAAACAAGGTAGGTCTCTCAGTCCATAGTAACCAAGACTGGTTTCGATTAAGCAATTGCCCTTGAATTACAATTTGGTGATTAAATAATAACATTTTTTTGCAAAATTCGTTGGTTAATAAAATAAGAATATATGAAGTATCCTTCGAATATTTGAATACGTAATAATTTTGTCTAAACAGCATGATTTCTCTCCACTTGTGAGGGTATTTGTGGCACAAATATCGAGTATCACCCAATTTTAAACTTACCATACCTCATGAACTTAAATTTTACTCTCTAAATGCCTCTAACCTGTTTGGGCTTATTTCACATTTAATTGTTTTAACACATACAATCGTTGACTGTCAAGCACTGCAATATGAGTGATCCGCCTTTTGTCTTTTCGCATCAGTGAAATCGATTGCTTACTTAAAGATGCGCCATTTTTACTCCTTTTAGATTATTACCCTTGCTGCACTCTCAATTATCATAACCGCTCCTACTGCGGCCTTTCTCATACCACTTGTCGCTCCATACTTGTTGAAGCAAAGTGTTCCAGATCCTTCGACGCCCAGACCCCGTTCGGACTCTCCCAATGACAACTATCCCATGAACGAAATTCGAACTCAAAACGCCATTGTCAGTGACAAGAAAACAACAAAGGAAGTGGAACACAATGATGAAGTTTTTCGCCAGACACCCAATCCAGAAAACGCCGTTGTTTCAGCCACTCAAGAAACAGTACTCTGAGAGATCTCGAATTCTCCCTATTCGGATTCCTAAACCAAATGCTCAACTTCCTAACAATATTCTTGAATTAAGATCAACCCGATTGGTTGGTAAAAATAAGCTCGTATATATATACCATTAAGTCCACTTTGAGTCTGCCCATCTCGCATGATAACCAACATCATTTCCTTCAATTTAATTAGTCAATAACGCAGAGACTTCAAATCGTATTTTGTTGCTCATTAATCTCTCACGACAATTTTCTTTCCTTCTGTTCGATTCTCTCTATCTCTCTTTTTTTAATCTTCTCTTGCAATTGACAGGAGAAGTGTGTGTACGTGCTTTCTGTATGTACATCAAAATTGAAATCACATATCTCTGTGATCAACTTGATCATTTAAATAACGCATACGCAGTCTATGAATATCCCTTGGGGCTGTTAGTTAGTAAAGTGGCTTTGAGCATTAAAAAATCAATTAGCGACCTGAAAGAATGGATATCAATTAACTTTCATAATCATAATAACAGGAAAATAGTTAAGTCCATATTGTCATAGCGCTAATATTTCAACACGAATTCAGAATTTTCGTTGCTTCTGTCAATACTAATTTTGGAAAAGTTAGATTAACTAAGAAAATTTCGACATTGAATAATTATTGCTAGATATCCTGAAGGTTTTTTTGCTATTTTTTTCATTTTATTTATCTATTTGGGGTGGGGTGGGGGGGGGGGGGGGGGGGGGGAATTGAAGACGGAGATAATGGAAGGCAAGCTTGCATTGGAAACTAACCGAGAAAGTTAATGCTTATCATTTATACCTAAGCAATTTTTTAAACACTGCTAATTGTCTTAGAAGTCAATATAGAGACAGAGAAGTTCAATAGCAGAGTCCTCTGACGCAAATATTTCCTCCCACAAGGAACTCGGCCATGTATTTGGAGAAGAGAGAACACGGAACGCTTACAGCCATCGTGTTTACTTCACCACTGGAAAACCGCTATATATATTATCTTCAATTACAAGCAGTTAATTTGAAAGAGTATTACCATCTGGTTCACTGACAAGGCTTCTCTACACACAATGCTGTTGCTCGTAAAGCGATCGACTGTGGAGCATCATGGCTTATCCGAACTTATAACAAACAGGCTCCCCTTAATTTCAGTTGTGCTTACTTTGTTGAGAAGTTTGGTTGAATAGTTAATCAATTCCATCTTACTGAAAGTGTTAAAGACTGTTGTGTCTTTTTGTTGATGGCACAATTTGTCCCAATTGTAGCAAATATCCCACCCACCCCCCAAAAAAATTACAGATTCAAACAGATGAAACACAGTCGGCTAAACTGGAAGCGATTGTATTAGTGGATGGTTTGAATTGTACGCCTCCTACCTAAGGTGCATATTAGAAATTGCTTCAAATTCAACAACAATCAAAATGGCCCAAAATAAGGGAAAGTAAACAAGGGAGCAAAACAACAGTCCCACCATCACAGTCGAGAGATCGTATCATGACGCCTGTCTTGTGAGAAACTCATATTATGTTACTGTTTTTTATGAGTTAGATATGCCTAGTGGAGTTCTTCCTTATCTCCAGTGGATTTGAACCCACAGGCACGAAACCCGCTTGCCCTCACTTAAAAAATGAGTTAATTAAAATTGGCGCCAGCTAAAAATCTCGTATAAACACGCACTTTTTATCACTATTACCGGTGTTAAAAAAAGTATAAAATAGGTTCTAATAAAGTAAGTACCGCGAATATTATTTAAGTGTATTAGTAAATCATGTTTATATAATAATTTCATTCATTACACAAATACCAACTACCCTATACAAGTACAGTTCCTCAATTTCAGAATGTTTCGACGATTTCGCATATTTCGATTGGGTTTCCACAAACGAAAATGTTGCTTAAAATCTTGACATGAGTTGAGCGATTTCAAGAAAGTCAGAATTTGGATGCGAATACATTCGACAGTTCTTTATCACACAGGATTTATTAACCTCATTGGTGAGCCGGTTTGGCAAACCCTTGAATTGATTCTAGTGAGTTCTCCTACTCTTAAGTCAGTATCATTGTACTAAGTCGACTAATAGACAGATGGCGTTTTGATAGTTATCATTAGCCATTTAGCTGACTTCAAGCCTCACAGAGGAGAGGTATATCAAAGTGAGAAAAATTGGAGAGGGGGAAAAGAGACAGAGGGACACAAAGGCAGAGAAAAGGTAAAATTAGTACTGTGGAAGTGGTCAAATAATGACATACAGTGGGGTCATGGTAGTTTGAAGTCAAAAGTCAACTGCCAGTTAAAAGACTTCTTTGCCGTATGAGTATACGTTGACCAGGGTGCACCACGTGGAGGTAAGTCCATCGCACACCCCTAGTTCCAAATATCGGGATGCCAACTGATTATAA